ATTTAATTAGTTTTTCAAAGAAAACTCAATGGTAAAATGAAAAAAAAATGATAAATTATTATAAACCATTAATATATAACAAAATTACTTTTTAAATAGTTTTTGTCTTTGAATTAATTTATTTTTGGAAATAATTATATTTTTTGATTGTATATTTATAATAAAAATATACTTTGTTATATAGTTTCGATAATGAATAAAAAATGCCGCGGACACGAAAATAATAGAAAGGACACCATATACACATAAAGGACGCCCTTTATAGCGGGAGGACATCCCTAAACCACAAAGGACGTCCTTCGGCCTATATTCCCGTCCTTCGTCCCCATGTCCGTCCTTTCTCTTAAGTAATGAGCTTTTTATTTGACAAATTTATAATTTAAGTAATATATAATAATAATAAAGTTTTAAAATTTATATAACAATTAATCATTGTATATATTTTGATATTTCTTCATAAATTGGATAACAAAATGGGATGTTATGTATATAAATAGATTAATTTTTATTGAGTAGAGTTCAAACGTTCCAAAGTCGTTTTTGAAAACATTTCAAAATGAATAGTGTATAGTTTACTGATTACGAGTTTTATTATTAGGGGAATAAATAAAATAACTTTTCAACCAATTTTAACAATTATTTGAAAATATATATTTGTCAACTTTCAAATGTCAATTATATCGGTATTTTCAAATCAACCATAATTAATTAAAAATGTTAAAAATATAATTTCAAAATATTTATTGCCGATAAAAAATACTTTTTGAGGTTATATTATGATCAATTTACGAAATGTTCAATATAAAAACACTGTAACTGGTAATTACATTGAATGAAATCTGTTATATTGTTTTTGTGTATAATTTATTATTCAGTTGGGCAAGAAACACCATGTTATACGATTGATTATTCTGACGTATGTGTCAGAGATGTTTCTTGTGAAGGTGCAGTTGTTATAGGGCCTGGTTATCCACCTGCTATTTGTAAAGATGGTTTTAAAGGTAACACTAAAATCACAAGTGTCAAATATACACCAAAAGGAGAAATGTTTATAAAAGCCTCTGCGTTTGAAGGAGCGACAAATCTCGAGTATTTTGAGTCAGAATCTCCAATAGAGGTGATGGAAGAAAAGGCGTTCAAGGGGTGTACTTCACTGAAGTCAATCAATGTTGGAACTGTAACTGAAATCCAACCAAGTTGTTTTGAAGGATGTTCATCTTTGATCACTGTTGACAATTTTGACAAAATAACAATATTCAACACTCTATCTTTTTCAGGAACAGGACTCACCGAAATCACCTTTGGAAATAGTGTGAAAAAGATTGTCAGTGATGCATTCAAAAATACAAAACTAAAGGATATCATATTTGGAAATACTGCAGTTACAATGTTGGAAAGTGGAGCTTTTAAGGATATGACAACACTCATCAGTGTTGATCTTGGAGGTAATACAGAAATACCAGACAACTTGTTTATGGGATGCACTTCTCTTGGAAGTGTCAAAAACATCGATAAAGTGACTTCATTTGGTGTTTCCTCATTTGAACGAACTTCATTGAAAGAAATCGTTTTTGGAAACACTGTCACTAAAATGGGGAATGGTGCTTTCAAAGAGGTTGGGTCATTGTCAATAACATTACCTTCAACACAAATTGGCGACTTTGGACCAAATGTGTTTGAGAATTCAAGAAGTCTAAGTCAGGTGTATTACAGTGGTAATACGATTGTTCCAGACTTTACTTTCAGAGGATGTACATCACTTGCTGTACTCAAAGGTTCTGAAAATATCATCTCTTTTGGAGTTTCTTCATTTGAAAACACCAAATTAAACAACATTGTGTTTGCTCCAAACATCAAAAAACTTGGAGATAATGCATTCAAAGCTACAAGTTTTACAACAATAACACTTCCTGACACAAACATCGAACAATTTGGTGTTGGTGTTTTTGAAAACATAAAAACACTGAAGTCAGTTACTGTTGGAGGTACAACTACAATTCCACAAAACACATTTAAAGGCTGTGAAAATATGAATACAGTGAGTGGCTCAGAAAAAATCACATCTTTTGGAGAAAATTGTTTTGATGAAACTTCATTAACTAAAATAACATTTGGAGATAAAGTTGACAAAATCGGGTCTTCAGCATTTGTGGGTACTTTAATTGGCAGTGTAAGACTACCAAAGAGACCAGTTGATGATTTTGGAGAAGGTGTCTTTTTGAATTGCCTCAATTTAGATCATGTTTATCTTGGGGGTACAAAGAAGATCCCACCTCACACGTTTGAGAGGTGCAGTACAATGTCTCAATTGAGAGAAACTGAAATGATTGAATTTATTGGAAAAGACGCTTTTAAGGGATGTACCAACCTCGTTTCTATCAACTTGTTTGGAAATTTGGAAACTTTGTTGGATTCGTTTGAATCAATAAATAACGTGTTTTATCACGGAACAGCACCACCAAAAACACTGCCAACCGAGCCACCTTTGAAAACAAGTTTGAGGGTTTTTGTTACCAATTTTTACAAACCCGAGAAATTTGGAGAAATTGAAGTAAAACGTTTGAATTGTTCAATCACACAATTTGTGGATGTATCTCAACAAAATGTGACTTGCCAAAACTGTGCAGCTAAAATGGCGACGTTGGATGGCGACAATTACATGTGCGATATCGACATGACTGCATGTATCAATGCACATGCAAAGTGCCAAATTTGTCTTGAAGATAAATGTCGAAAATGCGATGAAAAGTTGTTTGTTGATACCACCAAAGATGTCTGTGTTGCAGAGTGTCCAAGTGGGTATTATGATGGTGCCATTCAATGCGAGAAGTGTAAAGATCACTATGAAAAGCCCTGTAAGGATGCAGAATGTGAAAAATGTACTGGTGGTGTTATTGGCACAATGATAGTCGGACTTGTGATCACTCTTCTTTTCCTCTTTTAATTCACAGTTTTGTTTTTACTTTGTACTTATCAAAATTTTACAATTGATTTGTATTTGTAATATGCAATTCAATTTGAACTAGTTAACAACGATTATATATAAATATCTCATTTTGTTTTAATCCAATTGATTTTACACATTAGAACTTTAAAACAGATAACATGTTATTATTATAAATCCTGTAAGTTACAAATTTTGTTTTTGGTTTAGTTTACATTGAATCGTACACACTAATCATTTTTCAAAAATAATAATAAATATATTATAATTTACAATCATTTGTAAAACTATTCAACTTTGACACGTCAATGGAACTTTTTTTTATTTAATTATAACAAAAATAATATGTTTTTATTATACAAAACAAGAAAATACAAACTAATTTCATTGTGGATATATTTCAATTAAAATATTATAACAAAACTATAACTAAAGTTACCCATTTTTTAATAAATTTTTTTGATAGCTTCATTCAATTTTTTTGTTTACCAATTTATTGCAGAAAAAAAATTGAATCACATATGTTGTCATCAATTTCTTTTTATAAACGAATAGTTTAATATCTGCACCATACACAATCAAAAAACAAAACCGTATTTTTTTGTTTTAAATGACAATTTTAATTTTGTATTTTTATACTCTTCATTGAAACAAGCAATAAAACTTATCATTTAAATATCAACTTGATGTAGCTTTTCGTTTTTGTTTTTGTTCAAAAAAGAGTTTTACTTTTGTTGTGAGTTAATAACAAAAATAATAATTACACATTTTTGGAATGACTTTACTTTGAAATAACAACTGTTATTTTGGTTATTTATTTTCTAAGTGTAAAAAATATTTATTGTGTGTAGTTTTTATTAATAATTATGTTTTTATAATTAAGAACAAAATTCTTATAACAAAAATATTATAAGCTTTTGTAATATCATTATTGTTTTTTTAACATTATTTCAAATGAAATTGTCTTTTCACGATAATGGGGTGTCTATAACAACAGAAACAAGGTTTTTCTTTATTATCATCAAATAAAAAAACATTAAATAAATTATTAAATTTTGCAAATATCAAAGTGTAGAAATATTATTATAATATAGTTAAAATATTATAATTGATAGATTACTTTTTAATCTTGATTTAAAAAATATAAAAAATCGAAAACACAAAATTTAAATTGCTATGAATTGCTTTTTTAAATGCCGAAATAATATCAAAATATTTTGCACTCCTTTTCTATAAATAAAATTATTGAATAAAATCTGAAAAACAACGCCATTTAGTTCCTTGTATTTATAGTGTTTTTGTAAAACAATAATTTCAATAAACGAACTGAATATAATAAATATATGCTGTTTTCACATGTTTTTGTTATAATGATTCTTTTTCTGAATTTTCTTCTAATTAGTGTGGTCACTCTTTCGTTCACAAGAACTCCGCGCCTTTCTTCTCCTTTTGGCCGACATTTCCGTATAGAAAATCCACCGAATCGATTCAAAAATTCTTTCATTGACGTTTCAAAATTCAATTTCAGTGGTGAATGTGCCGATGTTTTTTCACATCCACCAAACAGTGACAGAGATTATATTGTTGGGTCTTATGACTTTAGAAGCAGTTGTGTCCCTTCGATGATGTGGGACAGTTTAACTTTAGCCCGCTATTCCATGCGAAATGCGCACATCGTTTTACTCTTATTTTCCTTTCCACCCCAAAAGTGTAAACACGACTTAACGCGTCTTGCAAAGTTAAATATTGAATTACAAAAAGTCGAGAAATCGTCTGAAGAAGACGCTGTTATAGCGAGATACACTTATTACGACAAATTTATTGACGAAAATTACAAGAACATCTCCCGAATAGTTTTCATCGACCCTAGAGACGTCGCTTTCTTTAACGATTTCTTCGCGACGTTCTCGGAAAATGACATCGGCTGGCTTATCGAGTGTTTTGGACCCAAAGCTCCTGAAGACTGTTTTGGGCCATATTCGTTCAAACTGCATGCCGAGTGGTTGGAACAATTTTACTCGAAGGAAGTCGAAGACGATTTTGTGAGGAGAAAACTTCCGGCGGTCAATGGAGGGTTCGGGTATGGCGGCGTCGAAAAGATGAAAAAGGTACTTCAAATTTATCACGAAAATGCAGACAAAACGATTAAATTGTGGGGGTACGACCAAGCACTTCTGAACGTGTTGTACTATAACGGAAGTTTTGATGAGGTGGGGATGAAGGGTGTTATTTGCGAGCAAAAGTTGTGTTATATCGGGCGGAATTCAATGGAAGTTAAAGACAAAGTCATTTATTATAATAATACACAATGTTCCCCTGTCGCTATGCATAAATTTAATGTTAAATCAACTCAGTGGAAATTGTGGTAAACTTTGTTGTTTATTATGAAAAATAAAGTATTAATATAATTTGGTGATTGGTGGAAATCATATTTTGCTTGCAAGAACTGTCGATAAAATACAATCGAAGTAATTTAAATTTAATTTTTAATGTTTTTATCCATATTAAATCTGTTGAATTTATCTTTTTGAAAAAATTACACACACTGCTTTTTTTGTGTTTAAAGAATAAAACTTTATAATGAAACTATTTTTGGGCAATGAAACGAATGATTAATTTTATTGTCTACGAAATAATAAACAATTATGTAATTTCAAATCTTAATCTTTATATTTATTTTTTTATTACAAAAATACATTAAAACATCGAATAAAACTACAAAATTTTAATTAATCATGATTAATATATATTACTATTAAAATAATTTAATAAAGAAATTAATAATATATACACATAAATTAAAAGTAAAGTAACTTCCCCAAAATATGCAAGTTAAAATTTTTAGTCTTTTTTACAGGGAAAGGGCGTGCAAGACTAAATTTCAGTTGAAAAACATTTTATTAAAAATTGTTATTCGTTTCCAAATTGATTCAAAAAACACACAACCCTTTAATGCTTGAATTAATAAACTACAAAAAGCAAATTAAATTATAAAAATTGGGTTATGGTTTGTCTATGTGTTTAATGTAAAAACAATTTTGTTTCAAGACGTAAATAAATGTCGATATCTCTTGTGTTAGCGTAATTCAAAGTGACAAGAAAAGGTGTAATAAACATTATGTTTTTCTCTGTGCCATTTTATAGCAAACAATAACAAATAGTCTGTTTAATAGGTGTTCATTGTTTCAAATCGATGTGTACTGTTGTCCAGAACTGGTCCTTCGATAATTTTTATTGGGTCGCTTTCCGAAATTGTTGCTTAATTAATTGTATTCGAAGTGTGAAAGTTAAAAATTGCAACGTCACAAGGTGTGCAAGTTAAAGTATAGTTTGGTAATAACTTCAAAATTATAATTAATAATTAAACTAAAAATATTTTTTTTTTCAAAATTTCAAAAAATTAATGATTCTATTTTTTTAATAAAAAAATTATAAATGAACTATACCTTAACTTACACACCTTGGGAAGTCACTTTAATATCAAAGATTTTGGATACTTTTTGGAATACTTTAATAAATTGTTTTGTATTAAAAATCTAGTTTATTGATTATTTTAACACCAATTGACACTTTTCAAACTTAAAAAATCAAAACTCCCAAAAGTTGAAAGGTGTGGTAATTATTGCAATCATTTTGAGCCGGTCGGACTTTGAAAAACGTTCAATGAGAACTCTTATTTTAACTTTTAAAATGCCTGCTCTTAAAAAGTAATAATCTTGGGAGTAACTTTTTAATTTTTAATGTACATATTAGAGTCAGTCTTTTAACATTATTTATTCCTTAATTGTTATCTGGTGAACAAAAAATAGCTTTATTTTTGTCTAAACATCGGGCATTAGGTAAAGCGTGAAAAAACCCGAAACAATTGGGATGGATTTTTGGGACTGCTTCCCGAAATATTCCAACCGTTATGGTCCAAAAGGTATCAGATAATGTTGAAAAACAGACTCTTATATATTTTATCTTGGCATTTTGTTTTTTGAATTAAACTATGTTATTTTAAATATATTTAATATTTTTATTTTAATCACAAACCATAATTATTACTTCAATTTATTATGATATCATAATGTAAAAAATAAATGTATTTTTTTAACTTCCATAGTTTTATAACATTTATTTATGTTAAGAATATTATTATATTGAATAATAAAATAATATATACCAGGGTTTATATTATATCATTCACACCCCGATTTATTCTAAAAATCAACCCTTTAAATCGCGCCAAAAACAGCAAATCAAGAATGATCATTATGTTTTTTATATTGCTTATATAACATCTTTAAAAACGGGATTATCAATATAAACCTTTAACTTGAAAGTTAGCTGCAAAATTTAAAACTTTCTTTGAACCCTATTTATTATTATAGAAATATTGAAAAAAATCTTATTGTTTTTATATTATTTTATTCTAATTAATTATAGTAGAAAAAAACTAATATAATATTTACTAGATGTGTATGTTATAAATGAAGGGGTGGGTTGTTTTTTGAAAAGAAAAATTTCAAAATTTTCTAATACATTTCAAATAAAAACAACACGAAAAAATAAAATAACTACTCCTCACAAATAAAAGTATCTTTTCATCTTGTTAACATCAAATGTCTATTAGAATGTCATCAACTTCAAGATTAATTAATCACTCTTCTCTCATAAGTGAAGAAGACCAAACAAAAAAACTGATATTTCTTCAAAGGCACTCCCAAAGATTTAAAGAACAAGAAAAATGTATTTCTTCAATAAAGAAAACCGTGTACACTCGCATCTCAACAAGTATGTTGATGCTTCTTGAAGATTATTAAATGTTGTTTCGATGGTATCTCTGCTGAAATTTAATTGTAACTGTTTAATTTTTTAATAATAAAACATTTTCTTAGAGATAATTATAATAAAACAATAGCTATTCAAGTATTACAGTCATAACAAAAAGGTGTCTCGTTCGAAAAAACCTGTCTTGAAAAAAACGAATAAATTAATTGGTATTTTTCATCAAAATGTTATTATTATGTTATATATAACAAAAGGGAATAACAAAATAGAATAACAAAAAATGAGTTAATTTGCTTTTCGGGGTGACCTCTTGAGTTTTTTGGTTTCTTTTCTAATATTGATTTTTCTTCAGGAGTCTTGTTCTTACTGCCTTTTTTCCTTCCTCTTGTAGATTTGGGTTTGGGGGGTTCGGGCTTCAAATACAAACGTATTTTAGACAGACTTTCTTGGTTGATTTGTTCGTCGACTTCGCAGTCTAACAACAATTGTACTTCGTCGTCGATGTTTAGATCGTTTGTTTGATGAGTCTGTTTTTTTCGCAGTTTACAGACTTTAATAGCTGTTATAGAAACCCTAGGAGTTGGAAGGTCTTCATATTTAAACCTTCTTTTTAGTTTTATTGGAGTTATTGAACTAAAAAAGGAAATAAAATTCAGATCCTTGAAAAGGAGAGGGAATTCTTCCCTCAATCTTTTACACTTGAAGGGATCAACTTGACAAAAGTACTCTTTCTTTTCCGAGTCGTATTTGAATGTTATACCCGCACCCTTAAAAGCCGAAGAGCACGATACAATTGAAGTCGACTTGTGGAAGGCGGTCAGTATCTCAATTTGGTACTTTTCAAATCGATTCACTTTCACTTCACTTTCCTCTTTTTCCCAATTTTCATTCATCCATTCCTCGCCATCAATTCCTTCACCTTTGTCTTTCTTTTCATTTCCTCCAAGAGAATCATGCATATCCTCTTTGTCCTCTTTGTCCTCTACAACCTGAGCATTTCGGATAATACCTTTTTGAACCGCAAACACCCCAATGTCCAAAGGTTGAAGAACATGGGATGCGTGCGGAACAAGAGGCACCAAAATGATGTTGTGGACCTCAAGCACTTTCCTTAGCTCTTCAACATCATGGCAAGAACACGAATCAATAAGCAAAACAGCTTTTTCATAAATACCAACTCCGAGTTCCATTCGTTTCTCGTAAATTTTCTGGATAAACACGGAAAAGACCCAATCCATAAAAATTGATTTGTTTATGAATCCGGTCTCTGTTTTTGTTAAAAGTACATGGCCAATAATCCCAGAATTAACAAGCGTTTGAGTACAAGTTGAGGTCGGAGTGATTAGAATTCCTGGAATTGGTCCTTCTCCGCTGATACAAGCGAGAAAGGTGCTTCTTCTGACATTACGTTGAACTCCAACTTTCAGCACTTTGATATCATCTTTATTCCACAAGACTTTGAGCTTTTTGCGGTCAGCCCATTTTTGATATCCAGATTCGTCTAGATTGAAACAAAGGCACCTCCTGACACCCGATACAGTCTTCGAAAAACCAATAAAATAATCAACAAAACTCTGTGTTGGTATCTCAAGGCGTTTTGTTTCGTCAGGGAATGCCCACCTCAAAATGAATCCCTCCTTCTTGAGTATATACAAAATTGCCTCGCGTTTAAAACATTCTCCAAATTGTTTCTCCAAGAAGAATTGTAAGTACTGTACTGTTACCGCCTGCTCCCTTTCAATACAACCAGACACTTCCAACAATAACGCCTTCTTCTGTTCCTCGTTTAAAAGGGGTGGTCGCCCATTTTTCCGAGGTCCGTACTCCATTTCCAACTCCATTCGCATTGACTGCGTCGAGATTGTCGCACCACTTACTCCAAACACTTTCCCCAAATCATCATTTGTAATTCGGTCCCAAGGGACTGATGAAGTCAGTGACTTCATTAAGTATATTTGTCCTCTCAGGTCAATTCCCTCCATTTTCCCTCCCAAAAATGCATAGTCAATGAACTGACTCATAAGAGAGTCTTTCTCACACCTTAGTTTCATGTCATCCTTTTTCTCTCCATCTCTTCTGACGTTGTTCATGCTCATTTTATTTGTGAATTCTTTTTAGTTCCACTCACCTTATTTCATTTTTAACGGAATTGTAAAAAATTATTATTGAAGAAAATCAATTGAAACGGATAAAATTATCCGATAAAAGGATGAAAATCAAATATTTTATTCGGGTTTAATCTTAGTACATTTCTAGTTTTTTTATTATATTTTTTTACTATAATAATCTTCGCGACAGGTTTTTCGTGTTACTGTATTATCATTATTAAAGTCAGTCTGGAAACCTTATTTATTCCAAAAACCTTATTTATCGACAAAAATAGGTTATTTTTTTGTTATTTGGTTTTGTTTTTCAATTTTATTTTTTTTCGTTTGAAATCTTTGTTTTTTCAATCAAAACGAACTTAAACAAATTGACAAATTTGATTTTTTACGCTCAAACATCGCTTATAACAACAGAGAGTGGTGCCGTTGTTGTAAACGGCGGTTGGGTGGATTTTTTGTGTGTGAGATGACAGATACAACAAAAGAATTCGACAACAAACAACTTGGATTTAATTAAATAATTAATAAAAAAACAACGAGACAAATCATAATTGAAAAGAACACCACGATTGGCAGACTCGAACATCGAATTGCAGTTTAGCGGTCGAGTAAAAGCCGTTCACAAGAAATTGTCTTAACTATGTGGGTGTTTGTTTGCTCTCCGAAAGAGTGTCTTAAAAAAGTAGAAAAGTACTCACGCCTAAAAGCCAAATTTTTAAAAAATAATCCAAAAAACCCAGTTTGTTTTGTGTATTTTCCCGTTATTTTAGGTAAATAATACCATTAATATCACCATTTATTGACAAACAGAAAAAATGAAATGATTGGCTAAATGACTTCAAAACCATTTATGTTTTTGGTTGTGTTATTGGAAAATAGTTTAAATAATAGTAATATTTATTAAACATCCCAAAAATGCTTTTTTTTCAAAGGAAAAAAATAAATAAGGTTTCCAGACTGACTTTAGTGTTAAATGATAGCAACATAAATTTAAATTTATATTTCATATACCTTTAAACATTGGCTTGATTGATTACGAAACTTAGTTTAACAAAAAGGTATTTTTATTTATGAAACTGTTTTATTTAATCATTACTTAAATTTCAATTAATTAATTGACAAAATGCCCGTCCTTTACAGACCTGTTATAAAACTGAACTAGATCATTTTCGCGGGCTCTATGAAAAATTATATAATTTTTATCATATTGTCCTGAATGCCCCGTTCCAATTTGTTTTGGTCGCACAAATGTCAATTTAATATGTTTTTCCATTGCGTATTTATAGCTCAAAAATCCAAAAGGAGTGTCTTCAAGTGAACTTGGTGGTATTTGGAAGTACTTATCCCAAGTTGAAAAGAATTCCGCCATATCATTTGAATATAAAGCAATGTAACCTGCAACAAATGGATAATATTTTTTGAATGGTTGAGCAAACATATCATAGTATTTATGCTTTTTGTTTCTAAAGGGTCCATGAAAGTTAAATCCTCCAAAAACAGTTCCATTTGTCGGAAGCTCAATCAATATGTCACTCAACATGTCGACGTTAACAATGACATGATTGTCAAAACGTCCATAAAACTTGTAATCTTTGAATATAGGATACAACTGAATATAAGAAGCAATATCTTTATGATACAAAGTGTTCCACTCTTCGTTTAAAAACGGCATTTCAACAAAGTAAATGTCTTGTTTTGTTGAATTCATTTCTTTAAATGTTGTTGTTTTATTTGATTTTTCAACACTACCTTTAACTAATATAAAAATACATTTAAATCCAAATTCAAGTTCATGTTTCTCTTGACACCATGTGTTTCTTATGTTGATAATGTTTTGAATTTTATTTGGCATTGTATGGATCATAGCTAGAAATAACTTTTGTGGGTAATGAGTCTTGTTTTTGTGTATTGGTTGCTCATATTTCAACTTCAATGTAGCATATGTACTCACATTCACTTTAAGGGGATAACTTTCGTCCAACGTAAAAAAAGGACCAAATTTTTTGGTAATATACTTTTCTATCTTTTTGTAATAAAGAGTTGCTGATGGCTCCGTTGAATTGTTTTGTCGCACAACAGGAAATACAAAATCGTAATGTTTAACGTGTACATCACTATCAACTATTGGCATAGTACTGTTAAAATATTTCCATTGTTTAGGAACCTTAAAAATTGTTTGTGTAAACAAAAAGAAGAATAATAGAAACAATGTAAGCAATGAAAACGACAATAAACGTCTTGAGAAATAAACCATATTTTGAATAATTTTAGTTTACAAAACAACAATATAAAATATACACAATGTATATTACGCGTTGAATATGTGATATTATTTAACCTGATAATTATTTTGTTGAATGGAATATTGGAAATAATTTTAATAAATTCTTAATTTGACAATTGATAAATATTTATTGTATTAAACCTTTTTAATAAAAAACAAAACAACAATGATTTTATTAATAAATTTAGTCTTTATTAAAATAATGCATTAACACCAATTGTAACAAATAAAAAATATTTTAGTGTTTTTCATATTTGTTGTAAAACTGCACTGTTGGTGAGCTTTCAAATTGATTTAAATTAAACTGATACTGGTACATTAAACCAAGCTTAATTTATCAAAAATATAATATATTTAACAATTTTTATTATAAATTATATTTTTGTTTTGTCAATAAAAAACAATAATTAAAAGTATAATGTAAAAATTTTTTATACAAACAATTGTCATTTTTTTGTTAATTGAAATTAAATTATTTTTAACCAAATTTTTATCAAAAAACTAACAAATTTGGTTACAATATATTCATAGAGTTTGTTTATATTTTTTTAAAAAAACGTCTTTTTGACAATTAATATTTTCTTTTAAATAGAAATTAATTAAATATTCAACATAATCACATAAAAATGTGATTATGTTGAATCGATGAATTTTAAGTGAACAAATATTTTTTTTATTGAAATAATCCAATTTTATTATTCCTTAACTATTTGAAAACGTTTCGTTTTTACGTTGTTGTTTCATGATAAAAATGGTAAATTAATCAATTTCTGTTCTATACACCGTTATTTATTTTTTATATTTTGAGTAAGTCAACCAGTTTTTAATAAATTGAAGTCGTTTTTAAATATTATATACACACCAAAATGGTGTTTATAATATTTGTATTATTTTTTAAACAATTGTTCAATATAAACAGGACCAGCTTTTTCCACCACCACCTTAACCAAAATAAAGTATTTGCCGCTAGTGTTTTTTGAAGGGAATTCACTTTTCAGCCACTGTTTGTGCGTCCCCATGTCGCCCACTTTCCTTGTCCGTATTGTGTGGACGCGGATGTGGTTCTCCCTGCAAGGGTGTCAGGGGGATCCGTGCCAAGGGAGGACTTGGAAAGTGGGTGAAATGGTGCACAAACAGACTGTTTGAGTGCGGCCTTCAGAGCTTTCTTTTCAACGCTTCGTCTCACTCGGTTTCCACTAACTCGAGGTAAATTTTCTGCATTTCTTGAGTTTGGGAACCAGACCTTATATCTTCCCAGTTATCTATTTACTATTATTATAAGTTGCTTATTATATCAAATAGTAAAAATGGTCTATTTTTAAAGGTGGTGGTGGAATAAGCCTTGTTCGATATAAACAATTCTTGTCATATGTCAATTAATCGTTTATTGTGATTAAATGAATATATTTTAGTTGTTTCTTTTTTTCAATATCATATTTCAAAAATAATTAAATGTTTGGATCAACCTTTTACACTTAATATATATGTTTTAAATAAAAATAATTAAAAAAGAGTAAATTAGAAAACGATTAAGACTTGTTATTAATAAATTATTACGTTATATAATCATTTCAAAAAACAGTCCTTAAACAGTCTGTTATGCACCCAATTAACATATTTTCCGTTTTTTACTGGAGCAAATCAATCCATACCCTGTTTGCAAAGAAAATAACAACTACCTCCACCTTGTATAAAAAAGGAAAGTGTTTGACATGGGGAAGCACAAAAGTTGGCTGATAAATGGGCAACCTTAAAAAACAATTGAGACATTTATTTTTTGAAAATAAAGGTTAAGGGAATTGACTTGTTTGAGTCCTTTTTTTAACGTTATCTAGTTAACAAAAAATAGTTTTAATTTATAAAAACATTGGAAATCAGGCAAAACATTAAAAAAATGAAACATTGTGATAAATTATTAGGATGGTTTTTGAAATATCACATTTCTTATGATTCGAAAAATTTCCAAAATATCAAATAATTTTGGAAATTAGATAACGTTTAAAAAATGAATTTTCTTTTATGAAATTAAATTGATTCAAAATCTAATATTATATATGTATTAAAGTTCCTATTATTGTGTTAATATTTATAATTAATCGAATTAATTGTAATATTTTGAATATTTTTAAAAATTGTTAATACAGTAAAACCTCCCAAGAGCGGTACCTCCGAAGAGTGGGTTCTCTCAAGAGCGGGCATTTTTTAGACCGAAACTAAAAATAGAGTTCTCTATCGAGCGGTTTTTAAGGTTTGATTGGCTAAAAATGCCTGCTCTTGAGAGAACAAAATTACCACGCTTTCCCGCTCTTGGGAGGTTTTACTGTAGTTTAAAAATTAATTTAAAGTTTTAAAAATTAAACATTTCAAATTGAAATTCTAGTTATATACAATTGAAATATTATAAACAAACTTATTATTTATTAATTTTGAATATCGAGTTATTTTGAGTAAATTTTGTTTTCAATTTCAGATTGAAAAGTCATTATAATTTATATATAATTTATTATTTTTAAAAAAAAATTTTAAAATATAAATTAACTATTTATTAATTATATAATAAAATAATCAAATTAATTAATTTGTTTCACAATAACGAAAAAAATTTTATAATGTTTTTTTGTGTGTAATTAAAATTAGAATTTGAAGGTGTTATTTTTGACCAAGTTTACTTTAATTCTGCTCGACACAATAATCGGTGTTGATTCTTTTTTCAAAAATTAATTACAATTTAAAAACCGTTGCCACTATTACATAAGTATTTGAGATCCAAATAAAAATTAACATATGAAGTACTTCACATTGTTCATTACAATTTCTTTGCTCTTTTTAATTTATACAATGGTGATATATTTATTTAACAACACAGTCACTAATTTTTCGAGAAATTCAGTGGATTATTACATCAACTTTTTAAACGAACAAGAACCTAAAATTAGTTACTCGCAAAACGAAATTCTCAAGCATAATACAATTTATTGTCAGTCCCACAATATTTCAAATGACAAAGTAAACAACACTTCTGTAAACTCTTTTTACATCAACCTTAACTGGGATACAGAAGGTAAAAACGACAATAATGAAGACATTAGTAAATTACATAATTCACTTAATACTCAATATCGACTCACAAAGCCTCGAAAAAGTGTTCCAGTAGACTTCTCAAAAAGTATTGAAGGTCTTCCAGATGAATGTGGAGGGCATTTGGATGCGCTTTGGCTTTGGGTCAATGGGAGTGAAGAGAAGTGGGTTGAAAGTGTCAAGAAATACAAGCCGGACTATGACTCAGCACGATTCAGAGATTACAACACACTTTTGTACTCGATGAGAAGTGTATATAAATACGCGCCGTACATCAAGAGATACTTTTTGGCAACAGCAGACCAAGTCCCAAGTTACTTGAATGCGCCACTTGGAGAGACTTCTTTTATTCTGAAAAGTCACAATACAAATCAGAGTAAATACTCACATGCAAAACAACACAAAGAGAGTGTGGAGGACGTCTATAACAATCACAGAGACAAAGATCTGTATACACTTGAATTGGTGTCACACTCCGAATTTGTCGATAACAAGAGTCTTCCATTGTTCAACTCAGACGCACTCGAAAGTCGAATTCATCACATCAAAAATCTTGGAAACTGTTTTGTCTATTTCAACGACGACTTCTTATTGTTCCGCGAAACGCCAGTTTCTTATTTCTTTAAGAAAGGAAAGATTCAAAGATATCACGCGAACGATTATGGCTCGAAATATTTTGCAGCAAGACAAAAGTGGGACAACTCGACGTTTTACACGAACAAAATGCTCAACAAAAAATTTGGGAAAATGATGTGGAGACCGCACTTATTACCGTCACATGTAGCATATACCATGCTTAAAACTTCTCTACTAGAAATGGAAAGAGTCTTTCAAGACGAATACGAAAAACAACAAATGAGAAAATTTCGAGAGTGGAACTCAATAAATGTTATGCATTTGGCATTGCACTATTTGTACTACACAGGAAAGGCAGATATGATAAAACAGAGAGATTGGAGTTGCTATATGGCGCTTACTATGGACCACTTTAAAAATCAAAAGGCGATATTTAAAATTAACCAGACAGAGCCATACGCTATTTGTGTAAATGACGAGATGAAAGAATTTGAAAAAGATGTCGAGAAAGGAAACACTGAAATTAGATATGTCTTGAGATGGTTGCAACGAAGTTTACCAGAAAAAATGCCATTTGAAAAAGGATTTGGAGGAGACTAGAAAATAAGATTTTTGAGTTATATGTTTTGTTAATATAATAAAAAATGTGTTGAATTTATATATATAACATAAATGTTATCAAGGTTATAATAATAATAAATAACATGTTATTTGTTTTTAATAAAAAGTATTTTTCATAGTAATAATTTATTTGGATATTCAAACATTATTTGCTTAAATATTTATTACCTTTTTGAGTATTGATAATAATATTGAATAACAAAATTATCAATTAAAATTAATATAATTGTTGTAGTCTATTTATCACATCTTCAATTACAAGTCTTTCCTCGCGTTTTTGACGCCAACACTCGCATATCAAATTATACTCTTCATTTGAAATCACTCGATTTGTACTAGTTTTGGGCTTTTTGAGTCGTTTACCAGAAACTACAAACTCGGCAATTTTCCATGGAAATTTGAACTTGGAATTTTTATAAGCATCTTCCCACCCAAACACTTCGAATAAAGTTATGCCAAACGAAAAAATGTCAACACTTTTTGTGTATTTTTCTTGTTTTAAGACTTCGGGTGCCATATACACAGGTGTTCCAATTCCTTTTGTGAATGTCATGTTAGTCATCAGTAAATTGACATTTCTTGCACTTCCAAAGTCAGTCAATTTAGCATTGACCTTTTCATTTAAGTCAAGCGAAATAACAAGAATATTGTCTGGTTTGATATCTCTCTGTAATATCCCATTTTCATGTAAATATAATATTCCTCTAGCTCCATCAATCGTTAGTTTGACTCGAATTTTTATATCAATGTCATCACTCTTTTTGTGTTTCATCAGATCTTTTAAACTCCCAAATTGTGCAAATTCAGTGACCATACATATATTACTCGGTATGAACACGGCACCATAGAAATGGACAATGTACTCACAACGGAATTTATCTAACATACACAGTGCATAGTGTGGCATTTTGGTACTTTTTTACTCGAAAAAAAAAATCGGCAAATATATTTATATTTATAACTCCCCAGAAGTTCTGTTATTAATAGATATGAAGAAACTATATTTATAAATTGTTACATCTCCAAATTTATAATTAAATAAAGTTCGTTATAAATAAATAACATTTTAACAATATTGTTATTCATTAAATATACAATATATAAATTATTAACATTTATCAATATTAAACTATTTAAAATAACAACAATTCAATTATTTAATATAATTTTTTCGTTTTCTCGTTTTTTCGTTTTTTCGTTTTTTCGTTTTTTCGTTTTTTCGTTTTTTCGTTTTTTCGTTTTTTCGTTTTTTCGTTTTTTCGTTTTTTCGTTTTTTCGTTTTTTCGTTTTTTCGTTTTTTCGTTTTTTCGTTTTTTCGTTTTTTCGTTTTTTCGTTTTTTCGTTTTTTCGTTTTTTCGTTTTCTCGTTTTCTCGTTTTCTCGTTATACGTATTTACGTTTTTGTTATATTTTGTAAATATTTATTTGATTTATATTATCTTTCATTTGTTGTATTCACAATTAAACATTAGACGTGTTAATTTGTATATCAACTTAATCAATTTTTACTTGTATGTAGTTCACTTTTTATTGTTAATTGAATAATACCACATATTTTGTTTTCTGTTTATATATATCATTTTAAATCACAACACATAAATTGTTCGTTTTGGTAAATACACTTTTATAAGTATATGTTATATAAGATCATCTCTAAATGTATTTAATACTTTTCAATAACTTTAAGTCTAATTGGAATTTTGAACCATATTTGTTTAAATTTGTCACAACTCACTTTTTAATACGACACAGAGTTCATTTTTTCGTATGTATATTTTAATTTTGAATTGTACCATGATATCAATTTTTGACATCCATACATATAAATAAAATACATACATTTTTACAATACTGTTATCAGGAATAAATATTATTTCCAGTTTTTGCTTTTTATTGTATTTTATGATTATACAATAATCACATTTTTCATAATTTTGTTGTTTTTATTTTTAATAAACAAGTGTGTTTAAATATCATATCATTAAGTCATAAATACTTATCTACAGTTGATAATCATAGTTTGTCGTATTTTTTTATATATTATGACAACTATCAATTTAATATATCATATAATAATATGATATTTTATTAGAATTATAGTTTATAATATAATATAATGTACAATATACATACATACATGTATGTATGTAAATATCATTTCATTTGATAATCGTAACTGTACTTTCAAACAAACTATTGTAACAAAAAACAAACCAATTTGTGTGTAAATATCTCAATAGTCTTCGATGATAATATGATTATTGTGTTTACGTATTTCTATTTATTTTTATCGTTTTTGTGTGTGGAAGGATTCATTTTATAATTATAAAACCAAAATAATATAATATATTAAAAAATCTATTTAGTATCTATTGAATGTCGTCAACATTAAAACATTAATGTTGTGATAATAAATATTATATATTGCATTTTAATACATAATAATATAATTATAAAACATTGTAAATAAAAATTTACTTAACATTTAAATTTCATGTGTTTTCATTATTTCAATTTCCTTATAAAAATTAACTATCTTGAAAAAAACAAAACACAATGAGCAATCCAAACGATTTGATTTTCGATGTAAATTCTTTTAATTATTTTAAAAAAGGATATTTATTAGCCAAATATCAAGGTGTTGAGTTTTCTTTTTGTTTGCGAGATGAATTGAGGATGCTTTTATCATCATGTAAAAGTCATGAATCCGATGTTCATAACAAACTCAGAACGTGTTTTCAACCATTATATGGTGAAAGTTTCCCAAAAGAACTCAATGAAGAACCGGTTATTCTAAACGAAAATGAAATTATCCAATTGTACTCTACTTTTATTGATGAACAAAATGATTCTGATGTGTGTATTTATTTTATTAAAACTCCAGATCACAAATTACAAAAGAAAAAAAATTGTATTTTTATTTTTTAATAAACTTAAGTCAAACAAATATTGGTTGTCATTGATTGTCAAAAAAGCAACACAATATAATATACCACCGGCACTTCCTTTGATTTTTAGAAATTCATTAAACTCGAATATTGAAAACGTATCAAGACTAAATCCTATACATATCACGAATACACTAAATATTGAAAACGAATATTCTTATGTCCAAGAAAACAGTGATGTATTATCATCAAATACATCTGAAAGTGATGACTATTCTCTTGAAGAATATTTGAGGAATCCGAAGAGACATCAGAAAATATATTAATGGATACTACACTTTCTAAAACTACACTACAACATGAAACAATCGATCAAATAAACGAACTTGTTAAAAATAAATTCACCGAAACAATTTCATTGGATATATTAACCAAATATCCCATAAATATAGCTGAAAAAATAAAGCAATTTTGTTGGGTTAATGACACTTTTTCAGTTGATCGATTTGTTACTTCTTTTTGGTTCGTATTTGATACTAAACAATCAAGGACTTATAAAGATAGGAATATCATTGAACATATAATGAATCATGTCACTTCATATATTATCAATTCCCTTGGAATTGAGGCGCATTTTTCGCAAAATCAAACTAAAATGATAAAAACTATAATTGATGTGGCGGTATCTTATATCATCAAAGATAAAAGACGAGATGTTGAATGTTTAAATATAGATTATAGAACAGCTAAAAGGCAAATGACACGCGAAAATACACATTTCCTTGAAAAATTGAATCAAATAATGGAACATAAAGTTGATTGTGTTGCTATTGGGGTTGACTCATCTTTTAAGAAAAAAATACAAAGATGTTTATTCAATTGAAATGAGGTATTTATATAATGGTAAAATAAAAATGTGTCCATTGGTTTTAAAAACTTATGACGGTGTTACACCAGGAAAAAATGTTGCAAAATGGTTAAAAATGAGTTGGATACAGCAAATATTCCACATATCAAAGTTGTTGGTGAAACAACCGATGGAAATGCTACCGAGATTGGAGTTGAATCTGGAGTGATCAAAGAATATAATGATTTGGTGAAAGATATTAAAACAAACCATTT